GAATGAAGATTTGTTGATATGGAACCCGGTATGTGAATTCACGGAATTGTTTTGTCCCTTGTTGTTCTCGATTGATTGACTTGAGATATGCTTACCTTATGCTCAATTATCATTGTAAACGTGTTATTCTATTCATTTGTAGTGCATCTCGATCGATTATGTGTTTATATGATTACATTTATGATGTACTCTTGTGCCACTCCCTTCGAAAAGAAAAAAAAAAATAAAGAAAAAAAAGGAATAAAAAGTGAGTTCGCGAGGAGGTACGGACTAGGCTCCTCTTATCCCGAGCCACCTCGTGGAATGGGATAATGAGTCCGGGAAACCGGTCTAGGGAACTCGAGTTGACCAATCGAGGATAAACCTAGATAAGCATTGTCTAGGAAACCTCGTTTGGAAAAAGAAGCACACGTAATAACTAAAAAAAAAAAAAGCAAAAACAAACAAATAAAAGAAGGGGAATTGGCTTATTGGTTCGTGCTTATCCTATTTTACATGTTGAGTAGACTGCATTTAGCTTTTTGCACATGTATTTAGAAAAAGGAAGTTTGAATCAAGTAAATCATGTGTAGGATGACTTTGGACGGCTTTTTTTGTATGGATTCATTATGTGGGGAACGTGTTTTCGGATTGGAGTTTGATTTTATGGACATCCTGATGAAGACGAGAGTTTCATTTCGCATGCTCGTTAATTTTGGACTTCTCAATTTTTCTTTTCGAGCTACTTGTTGTTTTATTTGCTTGAGGACAAGCAAAGAGTTAAGTGTGGTGGAGTTGTTTATTGTGTTTTTGTGCCTATTTTCGTGTGATTTATGTGTTTTAGTTTAGTGTTTTTAGGTTCGTTTTAGTGTCAACCGGTCCATTTTATCGTGTTTTATGTGTTTTCGTTCTCGTTATGTGTTTTTATATTTTGTCGTATGTTCGCGTCTCTTTTGGTGTGTTTTATAGGTCCATTATACAAGTTTGGGGAAACGAGCCATTTTCCGAGTTATTATTCGAGTCACTATCCATGATTTTGATGTCGAGCATTCCGACACGAGTTAGTCGAGCCATTTTGATCAAGCCATATGAGTTTCCGAGAGAGAGATCACCGATTGAGTCACCCGAGTGAAGAAATCGAGTTGAAGGTCATGTTCACGGCGAAATCCGAGTCACGGGCCGCCAAATGGCACTAGGAGGCCAAGCCTAGGCACTCGCCCGCGAGGTCACATTGGCGGGCTGCGAACCACACATGAAGCCCTTGCCCAGACTCGCTGCGAAAAGGAAATGGCGACCTGCGAAGCACATCCCATGCACCAAGCTTCCCACACACTCGCTGCGAAAGTGTTTTGGCGACCCGCCAAACGCAGCGCTCCTCACACCAGCAACACACTCGCAGCGAACAAGGATTCGCGCCGCGCCAAACGCAAACCTCAGCAGCTCTAAATGCCACACTCACAGCGAAACTGATTTCGCGAGCCGCGAAAGCACTCTGCCAACACTAAACTCGCTGCGAACAAGGTTTGGCGACCCGCGAACCCGCCCAGCTGCACTATTCCATGCCTAAACTCGCTGCGAACCCCGTTTCGAGACCTGCGAACTTCATAATTTCATTAAATGTGTGTGTTTTTAGTGTGCGTTTGTGTGTATGTATAAATAGGATGCTTGTGTGTAATTTTTGGGACAATCCCCTCATTTTCCCAACTTCTTAGTTGGGGAAATTCCCTCCCTTCTCTCTTCTCTCTATATTTTTTGTTCTTTGGTTTGGAGGTGCACACTTGACATTTTTCGGCGAGTTTTCTGGCGAGTTTTCCGGTAACTTTTCGGCTATCTTATTTTTATCTAAATTTCGTTCTCTACGCATTATTTTTGTCCAATCTTACTATAGGAAAATAGGTACCTTGATTAGGGCTTATTATTTCGAGTCGTGATTTGGTTGGAATGATGTGTTTATGTTCGATTTTAAGCCTTGCGTTATTTTCATTGCATGTTTATGCGTGTTAGGGTTCGATACGTGCTTATCTAGTATAGAGGTCCCAACTTGCTCGAAGCGAGATGATCTAGGATAGAAGGTTCGTGTTAGGATACTTAGGATCGCTAGGCTCGCATGTTTTCTTTTTGTTATTTTTATTTTCGTCAAGTTATGTAGACTCCGTGCAACCAAAGTTCGACATTTCTTTCGATTCTTACATTTTCATTATTTGCTCGTAGATTAGTTTAATTTTGTGTAATCAACCCACAATCAAGCGAGTAGAATGTTTAGGACTTTATTTTCGGTTGTGTGAATTGACGACTAGATAGTGAACGAAGCTCCGAAGAGCCTTCCTTTGAGAACGACCCGAGTCGGGTAACTCGGTTACCACATGCCCAAAAATACTACAAACACCTTACAAGAATACTAAGATCCAAGTCGTGAACCAGTTGCGCCACTCAAATTCGACGTCTTAGATTGATGGTAAAAAATGTGTACCATTTATCCTATTTCATGCTTGATTGCCAAGGAGATTTTCGCTGCCACGACCTCAACACTGGCGGTTCAACAAACATTTAGAAAAGGATGATGTGCACTGGACGCATTACAATTGGGGTTGACGTCACAAAATTTGGAGGCTCTAACGTTGCCGAGTGATTGGAAGAAGGCCGAACGAAGGGCACAAACGACCATGCTAACTACCAAAGAGGATGTCAAAGAAGTGACATCCAATTTTACTAGTACTAGTGAAATCGCCGGAATCGAAGACGACTACATCTACAAGTATGAGACCTACGATTACTAGAGTGTCAGTTCAACAATGCATCCTGCCCTCTTCTTTCATCAAGGTAAGTAAAGTAGAACTACGAGGAATTTGATTCCCAAGGTAAATGATACGTAGACAACTTAATTGACATATTATAACTTATAAGTTAAAATAATATTTTTAAACGAAAATAATCTTCAACTTATAACATGTCAACTACGCCCATGTCCAATTTTTTTAAACCCTCC